ACGAACAGAGAGGCCCGTGATAAGAGTGGAGAGTTCCGCCAAAAATTGGAGTTCATTCTTATTTTTAAATGTATTATCAATTATTCAATAATTGTATTGAACAAGTAATAACATTAATGTTATTAATAATATGTTATATGTTGTTATCGTTTAATTTCGTTAGGCCTCTTCAGTGATAACAAACTAAGGTAACAAATTTAACGTTTTATAACGTGGGTCATTGATTATTATGCACTCTTACTTTCGTCACCGGGAAATATTTTACTTCTATGTGATTTAGTACACTGCTTATGTCGTCTGCAAACATTTTGAAACAATAATTTACCTGGAACCTGGAGCCTGGAGTCTTGAACGGTGGATGGTTCTTTTAATGTTGTATTATTTTACATTTTAGTTTTGCCCTAATATTGATTGTATTTCGTTAAATACAACATATTGCTACTCTACTGACTGTGTTCGTTAGCCTATATCTCATTTTACTTCCCAATTAACCAATACTAAAGACATTATGTTTGTAAGTAAACGCTTGAAATCCATACAAAGATAAAATTTAAAAATGCAATAGGATATTTTAGCCTATGATAAAAATATGTCAATCTTATAAATTAACTAACTTTTAGTGTATGAATTAATTATAACCAAAGATTAAACTAACCTAATAAATAAATACTTAAGTACTTTACTTTGAAATGACGACCATACGAATGTAGGTATTTTAAGTCTAGTATGAATGGAGATGAGTGTCGTAATGAGTGTGGAGATGAGTGGCGCAACCTTGTAGTCTTATGACTAAGGCTGACATATTCCTTAGACACAGCTGTTAATTAATGGCAAATACAGCCAATGGAAACTAAGGGGCCTACAGTTTATAGTGGAATCCGAACCACATTTTTGCCTTGTAATTAACGAATTAGTCTAATATCAGGATAGTAAAAATGGATAACATGTGTGATAAATTAAATGTAAAACCTCCTTGATATAAATATTCTGATACTGATGAAAAAATAAGGTATTTTTATCCAAATATAAATCCCGAAGTAACCATGAACTTTTGAGAAAACTACAAGTCACAAACCCCATAAACCATATACTTAAAATGTTTGTCATGACATCTTGCGCAAAACTATCCATTATTTCATAAATTGCCTCTTATGGTCGTAATTCCTTTCTAAAGGGAACTTTCCATATACCTAATCTAATGTTAAAAATACCTCAGCTGTACTTATTTTGTTTGTTATTCTTTCAATTTATTACCTAATTGAAATCAGGTGTGGTTATTAGTTTGTATCACTGTATTCTGTTTTGTTTATTTCGGCTTAACTTAACCAATCTATAGTTTTATTAATACTTATGAAGTCAAACGGGGTGAAGCCCGTGGGTAACAGCTATTTTTATTTAAAAACTATTTACAAACACTGTTATTGATATAATGATGTAGTGATGTAACTTTTTCATCAAACCATGACTGAAATACTTAACACGCCCTTTTATGGAACATAACCCATAATCTATTTACTACTCTATTAATGATTAATCTGTTTGATCATTGTAAAGGTGGTCCAAAAATAACTCTGGGGGGAGGGGCAGGGCGTTTAATTATGTTGTATCGATGGTCTAAAAATAACTCATGAGAGGGGGGCCCTAAAAAAAAAGTTCGCAGGGGGGCCCGTAAAAATTTGTTACACCACAGTCAATAGTGCTAAAATAATTATAAAACAGTTACGTAATTTAAATTGATATGAATATGTTAAGATATTAGTTAGTTTTGCATGTTTTCGACAATCAGGTTGTAAAAAAATGAAAAAAAATAAATATCATGTTGAGGGTAATGAAATTGTTCGGAATTTAATGGGGAATTCGAATATGACATTCTTTTTGCTAACAAAAAATCAATAAACAAGCAAATCAGATAATCCCGACATGATGTCAACTTAACCCTGCCCGCCACCAGGGTTAAGTTAAAGTCCAAAACCATTGTTATTACACCCGAGATTATCCAATTTGCGCTAGAACATGACTCGTGAACCCGACATTTGGCCCAGGGTTTTCTCTAATTGAACTTTTTGCGCTAGGGTTTATCCCTGTCATAATTGGATGAAGTTTAACTGTCTGCGCCCGAGCGCGGGTAACCTCGTACTCGTGAACCCGATTTCTAAGCTGCGGCGAAAAAAACTATAACTGGATTTTGCGCTTGAACAAAGGATAACCTGTGACTCGTGAACCGCCCCTTGGATTGCCAAGAGGTACTTGGGGATCTGTGGAGAATGTTTGGTACACTATTCTAGACACTGACACTAAATCTACTTTTGTTGTTATAACTGAATGGTTTGCTGCAATGCTAGCAGTATCTTTTTCCTTTTAGCGAATTTTCCTATAGGGAAGCAGCTATTACCGTTGGTGGCACTGTAAGTCTTGGAGCCGGGACCAACATACTTTTTCATTTTGATGTCCCTAGAGGCCAAAAACACTATTCGTTAAAATGTTTATATATGTATGTATATACGTCCGTAAACGCAATAACTTGAGTAATTTTTATCCCATTTTGATGAAATTTGGTTTGGAGGTGTAAGGCGGAATAAACTTGAACGAGTTCGCAAACCAGCATGACCCGACTATGGGAACAGGGTTTTACAGGGGGTTTTATGGGCTAGAAATTGGTTTTTCTAATTTTTGACCCTCAAAACACAAAATTTTCCAATATCTCTCTAGACCATTTTAAAGAGCTGAAAAAAAAAAAAATTTAGTAAACCAAAGTGTTTTTGAACGGTTATTGGTTATGGGGAAAATTAAAAAATAGCAAAATTAAAAATTGCCATGTTATTCTTCTGGAGAATTTTGTAAAATGTTGTAGTTTGCTTGTTTATGGAAATACTAGCAGAGTAGCCGTTCTTCGTACTGCGTTGGCTTATAAGTATAAAATGCTTATTGCAGTTATATTAGACTTTGCGTCTGCAATGAGAGAGGACATGGTTTAAGAAAATTTTTTTCTTTTAATTTACGGTATGCTATAGTATAACTCATCTACCATAGCCATAATGTTCTACCACTGCAGCTAAACAATAGATAAAGTAAAGTTCTCATTGTATATCACAGCTTTTTGTTGCTAGTTGGTTCAAATTCAAAAAAGTTTAATATTGCTGCAGCCTGTTGGTAAACATTATAACTTTTTAACGCTATTTATTATCATAGAACCAACTTGTGTAGTTGAAACAGCTGACAAAATTCTTTTATTCCTTTTAAATATGATTACTCATAAGGTTTACATGGGAAACTCCAGAGCCACTGGGGCGGAGCCCGAAAGGACTTTTGAGATAAGAATGCGTCTATATTTTATTCGGTAATGTGAGCTATCATCACACCAAATTCCAGCCCGATCCGACCAGTATTTTTCGCATTTACTTGTCACAAACATACATACATCTAAACTTTCTCATTTATAATAGTAGTAGTATTTTTATCAAACTTGGCAAGTTTATTTATTTTATACTAAGTTACTACTAATATTTAACTAAAAACACACTTTATTAGCCCCCTTCAGCAGCAAATCTATGTACCCATTAAACCTAATGTTATTTAAATAAATTTTATTTAAAATCAATTCAGGCAAATGGAAATTCGCTTAGTCTGCAGGTTTGCTGCGGCGGGGGTATTTAATTAAAAAATGAGAAATCAATTATATTGTCAAACTTGGGAAAAATAAATACACTACTGAAATATTACAAGTAGGTATAGATAAATAATCACTGATTGTTTTGACTGAATACAATAATTTAAACAATTTATCAACTAAAAAGAAATATGAACTGAATTCGTATAAGAATTGGATCAACAAATTGAATTACATTACACGAATGTTGTAAATTGAACTGAACAGATAGGTATAGACTGATATTCGAATTTATTGTCGCACTTGTCGGGATCACCTAGCTTGAATTCTAGGCCAAAAAAATGGGTGTACAGTTTAGCCTCGCTGTACGGTTTAGCCCCGCTTTCCCCTACCTGTTGCTCGAATTCGAGCAACTGCGAAGTATTAAAGGCGTTTTTTTTAACGAATAACAGTCATAATTTCCTATGACTTTAAAAGAGTCGACTAAATGATTATGGAAATAGTCACGATGTACATAATAGTTCAATATAATCCCTAATCAACATTTCTTGTAAATATCTTATCATTTTTCAAAAGCTGATCTTGTTTTTTAGTGTTTTCTACAAATGATTCCCACTCATAGCCGCATTAGATTGTCCATAATAATGATCATAAATAAAAAATAGGCTACATTATTTCTACATCTTCTACTTGGTGGTGTTCCATGTATGACTTTCCTATGTTTCCATAACTTTAGTTTGCAAATCAGCTCTTTCAATGATTGCTTAAGAAATACAGCACAGTGTTGATTCAGTTTTCTTTCCAGTATATCAAATTGTCCAGGCTTTCTCGTTTTTTCCATTGTAATATTTACGCCAACCCAAATTCAAATAGTAAATATTTCATTTCAAACAAGTCAGTAAATGATTGTAGCACACGTTTCCTTAAATTGCAACTAAAATATTAACAGCAATTAAATTATCCAGCTGATCATAATGTAAACAAATATGTTCTTCATAAGGATAACATGGGAACTTTAAAAGCCACTGGGGCCTAAAGGATATTTTCAAAGATGTAATGCCAGTTTGCAACAATAGAGCCTTATTGTTTACAAAGCTTCATGTAGAATATTAATAATATAGATGGAAATTCACCACTGGTAATATTCTCTACATGAGAAATTCGCTAATACTCTCTCTAAAGGACATTTGCTAAAAGAACATTTGAACATAGTTTAGTTTATCGCTATCCTATTTGCTGTATTAGAAAAACAATTTAATACACAAAATAAAAAAAACAATTCAAAGTTCAAAAACTTGGCTTTGGTGGGAGTTAACTTAGCGTGCTTGCAAAAATATAAATTGAATAAACATAAGTCAATTTTGGGTATGATGAATATTTACAAACTAATTACCTTATTGCAGCTATTGCGTGTCCCATCTCATGAACTACTGTGCACACAAGGAGTGTCACCAAGTAGTAGCCAAGGTCCGATATTGGGATATTGAGTCCAGGGACCTGAAAACACAAAGTGATCATCCATATTTTGTTTTGGAAAGAGTTCACTAGAGTTCGGCATAAGAAACACAGGTACTTTTTAAAAGTTACAATAGCTTACACAATACTTATATGCTGTAAGTATAATATTTTTTTGTCACTAACAGTATTTTCAAGTACAATGGTGTGATGGGAAACAAGTATGCATATTCCTTGAAATCTAGGGTCTTATGCTTTATGATACATATACCTGATCATTCATATTACATGAAAGTATGAAGGTAAGAAGTTAAATAATAATACCTGTTTGAAAATAAAAATAAATCCTTGTTTAAAAAAAACAAAGTGTTTCTTGCTAAAGACTAGAATAATATAATATAATATTGCAAAATCTAAGCAGCAAATACTCGATTTATGGATTAAGGAATTGTAAAATTAATATGAACTTTAACTAACTTAATACAATTAAATTGTACACATAATGTTCACTGTGTAGTGTATATTTATTACTGAAAAACTTCACATAAACATAAATAAAAAACAACAAATAAAATAAATAATAAACTGATCTGCTGGATTAAAAATAGGGACAGTCTTTGGAAATATGTATCAAAAATAGAGCAAACATTGAGGGTCATGCTTTCCTCCATTGGTTTTCTTTTCAATGCACTATTATTTATTTTGCTGACAATGTTTTAACAGAGCTAGATAATAGCTTTTACTATTAATACAACAGTATCTAAAAGTCAATGGTAATAGTAATCTTGGGTCTGTGTGCTAAACATATTTGATAAAGGCTTGTTTGATCAAGCAACTTTCAAAGCGTGCGTTCTGAAGTCTAATATTTATTATAAAATGGCATAGACTGTATCAATACAAATTTTGAATTAGGCTACAAAAAATATATTTATTTATCTTAAGATCGACCCTATATAAAAAAAAAAATTTATGATCATAGTTTAGGTAATCTTTATCTGCGGTAGAGAAATCTTTAACCAGTTATTTTCAGAAAAAAAATATAGTTTCAGGTGATTTAATGTTAAATATACGTTTAGGCTATAGGTTCCCATGGTCACCTCATGCATAATTAGCGATTGTACAATGAGATTGGAAGTCTACTTGTGATAGTTAGTCTATGGCTTTATTCAATAAAACAAACACAAAATAATATTGAAATATTTGTTAAGATATCATAACCACATAAAATGTTCTTACCAAAGGTTGAAGTGTGGCAATACTTGTGAACTCTGACTTTTCTTCTTGGACTAAATCTTTTAGGAGTATGTAGATGGAGCGGGTTAACAAAATCACTGCTATTGGCATGAGAACAATAGCGATCCATGTCCCAGCAGAGAACCAGGCTAGAAGAAGCTTAGGTCTTGTTGAACCCCATTTTTGGATCAGTCTGTTGAATACAGTCGTGTACCAGTGGAGTCGAAAAGGTTTGACTTGAAGTCCAGTATTGTTTAAAAGTCTTAGATACGGCAGATGCATACATGACTGAAAAAAAATTACTAGCCTAACTTACTATAGTAAAATGCTAATAATACCAGTGGTGGTTCCAAGGGGGGGGGGCTACAGGGGCTAAAGTCCCCCCCCTTGGACACTGTAGAAATAAATTTAAACATACATTTAGTCCTTAAAACAAGCAATGTTATAAAACAGACATCAATATAGTTTTTATTAAACTAAATAAGCGATGGCAGGAGTAGGCCTAGTATTAAGTTCCACATAGATAAACTTTGAGGAACAAAAGCAAGACGAACAAAACAATATTACGCTATAGAAATTAAAAAGTTTTACGCATCATCCAATTTTTACAGCAGTCAACCGACGTGATCGAGCGCGACAGCGAGGCAGTGGCGGCGATAAGAACCCTTGGGCCCCCCCGCAAGTTTGTTCGCCGGGCCCCCCTCTCCCAATGATCTTTAAAAACATTTTCCCATGTATTACCGCCTAAACTTGCAATTTTGCAATAAACTTGACAAGGCATCTCCCGAGGCGTCATTATCGTCTTCCATGATCGCGGCAAAATCGCAAATGTTCTTCCCGTAGTCATAAGTCATGGACGAAACAGTATCATAGTTTACCGTGATTGTAAATGCAACAAAACCTATGACATCATTAGATAGCAGCATCATCGTATCCCGCGTTCACGGCCCAATCTAATATCACGGCCTAATATCTCCCCGCGACCCGTCGGTGGTGACGGGTAAATCATTTTTCCGCAATCGCGGCTAAATCCTAGATATATCTCTCGCTAAAAAAGAAATGTCACTATCGTCTTCCGCAATCGCGGTAAAATATTGAACATCTGCGGCCGCGGAGACATCGTCATCGTCACCCGCGGGGAAATGTTCTCGTCGATATCCGCGATCGCGACTAAAGTGTAGGCCTAATCTTTCAATTTCGTGAGCGTGATCCTCACGGATATAAAAGCTTTTACTTTTAATTGTGCATTATTGTATTGAATACTGAGAAAATTGGCTCGAGCTTGATTTTCTGACTTTGTACTTGATCTCTCAAGCTTGTAGTCCAGGCTCTGCTCGGCCACCAACAACAGTCCTGTATAATACGGGACCCTGAGCTGAGCCTGGACTACAAGCTTGAGGGATCAATCACAAAGTCAAAAATCAAGCTCGAGCCGATTTTCTCAGTATTCAGTACAATAATGCACAATTAAAAGTAAAAGCTTTTACATCCGTGAGGATCACGCTCACGAAATTGAAAGATTAGGCCTACGCTTTTGCCGCGATCGCGGATATCGACGAGAACGTTTCCCCGCGGGTGACGATGACAGAGGCCACATTGGTTATAAATACGGCCCTGAGTGAAAATTTAAAAACGTACGTTTTCATGTCCCTGGCCTTTTACTTCGTAGATACTGGATTTGTAGTTTATTATTATGTGTTTTAATATTTTTTGGGACGGGGGCAACATGTTACACACATTTATTTAGTTTTAAATAGGTTCTAGGTATTTTTTTCGTATTTTTAAAGTCTCGAAATTCACGACCATGACGTGTCCCTAGGGTACATTTTTCAACTTTCACGCTGTTTTTAGACTAATTATTCATACCGAAATATATAAAGCCATATTTTTATGTCATCAATGGTTATTAAACTTACAAAAAAGGAGCATATTATAATTTTATTGTCATTGCAGACTGACTACCATGACAAAATAAGTCTGTCCCTCGATTTGGCGTCACGACCATTTGGGAAAAATTTTCAACTTTGGAGCACGACAGTGGCAAGCCTGGCGTCGATGGAGTCAGTTGGTTTTAGAAACTAGTTCGGGGTGTACGTCAGGATTGTAGTGCCGGTCGTTTTGAGTTGAAACGAGGAATTACAAGATTAATAAAGGAAAGATTGTGTTTTTTGTAATTTTGGTGTGTCCATGACCGTACGTAGTCATTCGATGAAGTAGACATGGTGTTAATTTTTGTTTATAAGATATTTCAATTGCTAGATCAACCTAGAAGTCCACTTTGTATCCTCGAACATGAGGTGCAGGGCTAACGCCAGAACAGAGCCAAATAACACGTAATTTCACGTCCAAAGTTTCACGACCATCGCGGTTTTTTTCACGACCACCTACCTTATGGAACCTTATGGATTATAGTGTGTTTGGTCGTGACAATAACTTTAATATAATTGTAAATTGAACAGTTTAGTTCAATTGAAACACATAGTGTTATAATAACTAACAGTATAATTGAAGGATTGTTTGGAAAGATTTAGATTATTCCAGACAATTCACGACCGTACCGCTTGTCCCTGACCATCACGTTTATGATTTCTATCATAAAAATTTATAAAATTAAAATATCGTCATATTTCAATGTTTTATACACAAAAGAAGCACATCTCTATACAAACATAACGATTTTTCGGGTCTCAGGTAAGTTTTTTCTGAGTTATACAAACTTAAAAAGATTTTATTGGCTTTTTCCTATTTTTTGAGTTTTTTAAATTTTTTTCTAGAAAGACCAAATATACCAAAAACTCAGTGACCTTTTTATTGTATAATGGTCATAAAAGTAAATTAGTTTATAGCAAAACATAGTTATAAAAATAATATTAACTATTTTTAATATTCATTTAAACGTCCGTTATGGTCGTGACAGAATTTTGTGTTTTTCTACTAAAGATGCTCTTTAAAAAGAAAACTACCAAAGATATTGCGTTACCATGGACATTTTATGAAACTTAAAATGTTAATGAAATAAAAATAATAATAAAAGTTTTGAAAAAAGGGGGAACAAATTTGCAAAGTGCTTTTCCTGAAAACGTACGTTTTTAAATTTTCACTCCCCTATTATTATGCAACCAATTTTGACTGCGCCTTCACACAATCCACGAGGACAGTTAAAAGAACCCGCATGGCTGATGACAATTCTTTTACTTAGGTTGGTAGATAATTTATATCGATCGGTCAAGTAATAGTGTTAGATTAGTTGTTGTAAACTACTTGAACTAAGTTATAGGTTGTAACAAATTTTTATCATAAAAAAAAACGTAGTCTATTTTAATTTTCATATAAATATTGTTATGATAGGGGACCCGTGTGGCTGAGCCTGTCACACTATCGCGGGCCCGTGTGCCGGTAAAATTTACCGAAAATCCCGGTCAAGGCTCATGGGCCCCCCTAGCCCCTGGGCCCCCCCGCACCGCGGGCCCTGCGGGCCCGCTATCGCCGCCACTGCAGCGAGGACGGGGAAACAGCTGATTTCATGTTCATAGTTGTCAAAATGTCTGCTAGCTACTAGCTTACACAGGCATCAGCCATCAGCGGTAACACCAGTAGCCTTATTGACTATATAAACATTAGTGTTTAAGTTTATATAGTCAATGCTATTACTGAATTTGATATAGCCTACATATTGTGACAGATCTTTGAAAAATGCTTGCATATATAACATATAACAGGTGAAATGGCAAAATGGGATGTTTTTGGACAATTAGGCACAGTTCTAGAAGTTAAAAATGGCTTTAAAAAGTCACCAAATGGCTTTTAGGAGGATATGGCCATAGTTTATGGAGGGCACAGTTTAAGATGTTAAAAATGGCTTTAGAAAGTCACCAAACGGCTTTGAAAATTCAAATTTTTCCCGGTCTTTATTAAATGGAATATTAAATAGATCTTTATAAAATGATTTATCTTTCGATATCATAAAACTATGTAAATAAAGAGCACAAAAAACAGCACATATGAATAATGGACACGATACAACAACCGGTCCTAGGCCTAGATTAATACGAGGGGCGTTTTTTTAAGTAAAGGACGTGATGTGTGCTAATATAGTTCTGTGTAAGCTTGTTGCCGCAACGAGGGGGGGGTCACTGGGTACTGGCATCATTTGTGAACAAAATCGAGCTATTTATGGATCTGTAGCTAACGTGAACACTTCACTGTGTGTCTAGAACATGTTTACTAAGGATACTATTCTAGCTGCTTTACTACAACCCTACCTATAGGAAAATTATTCTTGTTAGCCTATAGTAGGTAGGCCAAATCAAAAATTTCGCGAAAAGAAATTAAGCTCCTGCCAAGAATGGTTCTGAGATTAGGCTTTTGTAGGAAGAAGAAAAATCCTTGTTGATTACTGTTGCCAGTTGGAAGTGTAAGTTAAGTTAACTATGCAGAAAAGTGTTTTGATATAGAAAATGTGTATTAACAGCTTAACTGAAGAAGTTTGTAAAAGCCTGCAAGTTACATATACCCTACACCTACTTAACACGTTGGGTGCTGATGACGGGAATTCCCGCCATTGCTTAACATTGAAATAAATGCAATTTTCATGTTCAAACATGTCAACGGCACTTTAAGTGTTAACTTATGTAGGCTACCTATAGTTTTAGTTACTTTTGCCCATTGCTTTTCAGTGAGTAAGTTTTATTTAAGATAATGGCAATAAACTAAATTCAAATTCAGATTAGGCCTAATGCACAACTGGTCTGTTCTGGCAGCCAGGTATATGTAAGTTATTCATCACAGTTTCCTTGAAGACAATCCTAGGCCTTTTGAATTTGAGAAACATTTGGGGCGTGTTCAGACTTCCAAGGCTGACTGTAATCCTTCATCATAGTCTTAAACAGAGACGTTCCCTGTTTACTTCGACAATCTGTCGTTCAGTCACTCTTCTACTCAGATAGAAACTTTAACTTTGGTCACTGCTTCAAACAAGACTGATGAGCAACAGCTGGACGGCCTCTACACCTTGGAAAACATCATGAAACTGTTTAAGACTACATCCTCTAATCCTTGGAAACATTTTATAAAAAAGTTTCAGTAGGCCTAAGTTATAGGCTAGAAACTTTATTTAACTTACTGGTAAGTTACTCCATTCTTGTCAGACAACTGGTGATAAATTAGACTTCAGTTAGTTGACGACTAAGACCACACAGTCCTTACACAGCATGCTTTCCCTACAGTCCTAGGCTACTTTTTGGGGGCGTTCATTTTCTTTGCCAAAGTTTTTAAATAAGCTACTTTGACGAGACTAAACTTTTAAAATCGTTCCACAGGGATAGTATAAGTATCCGACTAAAATAAGGTAACTTAGTAGCCTAGTGGATAACGTAAGGAATGTTGGTCTCAGATCAAAAATCAATATTGGGTGAATCTGCCAATAACTCACCAATTAAGTAAGTTTAGTAGAGCACATGCCACTGTCCCAGATATGTCTATTGTTCGGGCTCTATTTCGGGATCTAAAAACTTAGGCTCGTACAACTTGGTCAAATGATAAAAATGTTCGAACACAGAGCATAAGTTAGTAAGCCTACCATCGTCGTACCTGAGGAACACTTAAAGGTTATTATAGAGGGTGAAAAGTGACAAAGCGCTTGTGCAACAAACTAGACCTATTGATTACAATATTCCAGGACAATAGGCACAGGTAAAGGACATGTTCACCCATACCGTATCCTTAGAGGCGGTTTGGGAGCTCGGTATTAGCGCTAGTCCGCGACTATGAACCGGATATTTCCGGTATTTAGGCTGCCGCCTAGAAAACGGGTTTGGGAGCTCGGGATCAGTTAGGCGCGCACCTAACTTGTGCAGGGATAATCTCGCGCCTAAATATTGTTGGTTTGGGAGTCAAGTAGACTTAGGCGCCAGCCTAAGAGATAGTCTCGGTGGGTTTGGGAGACCAATTTCAGGACTAAGAGATATATTTTCGCCATAAAAATTAGTGAGTTTAGTCCCCAACTTTAGTCCTGCCAGGGGGCAGGTCTAAGTCGACATCATGCCGGTATTACCTAATTAGCAAGTTAATTGTTTACATATTAGGTAAAAGAATGTTAATTGGAATTCGTTATTAAATTACGAACAATTTCATTACCCTCAAAGTATATTTGATAAAAGTTTTTTTTTAGGTTCCTGTTGTTCAAAATAAAAATAAATCTTGCGGGAAGTAATTTAACGAAATATTATTTTGTTTTTGTTTTTACTGTTAACTTAACTGCAATAAATATATGGAGCCTGAATAGAATTTATTTCAACTGAGAGTTTGGTTATAAACACCCGTACCTTAATTATAAATATTTTATTAGGTAGGAAAAAATTAGCAACCGCATACATACCTTCCCCCCACTTACCCCCCTACAAAAGAGTGAAGAAATAATAAACAAAACATAAAAAACTAAAATAGCTCACAGTCATAATCGTTTTGTTTTTATTGTGTTATGATTGAGCTCAGTTCAGTGTCATTGACAAGTGCTAGTTACATCAAAATGTAGTAACCTAGGTTACTTATTGGGAGTATAAGAAAATATACGGTATACAGTATATCAATAATCCCGCCACAGAAAACCTACAGACTAAGCGGATATCCAATAACCTAATAGGACTTTCAATTGAATTTATTTAAATAGCTTTAGGTTTAACAAGTAACTAAAACTACCTACGTGTAGGTATGCTACTACAGGGAGGGCAATACAGTGTGTTTTTTACCAAAATATTAACAGCTTTAACTTAATATAAAATAAATAAATTTGCCAAGTTTCATCAAAATATATCCATAAACTACAAAACTACAATTCAGTTAACTTATTCTCCATGAGAATCACACGGGGGTTTTAAATTTACGATTTTTTGAGTAGTCTCTGTAGCCAATAACCGTACAAAACATTTTAATATAGGTACTAGGTAATTTGTTTTTTATACTCTTTAAAATATTTTAAAGATAAAGATTTATGTTTTAAGGGTTAAAATTGAGAAAAAAACTGTTTTTATCCCATAAAACCCCGGGTCCTCATGGTCTGATCATGCTGGTTCGCAAACTCATTAAGGTTTATCGCGCCTTACACTTTTATGCCAAATTTTATCAAAATCAGACAAAATTACTCAAGTTGTCACATTTACGGACGTGTATATAATGTATGGGCTATACATATATAAACATTTGAATGAATAGGGGGGATGTTTATTGGCCTCTAGGGACATCAAAATGGAAAATTATATCGGTCCCGGAACTAAGTGCTACATACGGTAATAGCTACTTCCCTATAGAAAAGTTAGATAAAAGAGTGTCATGTTTAAAAAATTTTAAATTGACAACAATTTTTTTGTAAGTCCTATTAACAGACATTTGCTTCACACTATCATAACCTCCGCAATTACTTAAAATACTTTTTATTTTTTTTCCGCCAATACCCATATAATATACAGGGCAATTGCTGTTTAATTTTGAAGCATTTTATTGCATGAAACCGAGTTTCAGATGTAACCGTTCCACACACAGGGTAATCTTTGTTAAATGATTAGGCTACCTAATGTTTTTGATCTCTGAAAGAAATCATATTGATTTTCAGAAGCCTATCTTGCTCTGTACGTATTTATAAGGTGTAGTACCAGAGATAAAACATAGTCATTGAGATGTAAATCAAAGATCTTACAAAACTAAATTTTTGCAATGGTAGCCTACAATGCAGAAACTTACACCATAGTCTACTAATTAGCCACCGTTGATATACAAAGATAAAATTGTATCCATCTTCAATTGTTCATTGTTTGTTGTTGTCAATGGTAACTTGCTCAGCAGTGGCCGTTGCCAACGTCAAAACCTGAATTCCCCGTGATTCCCTATCCATCTAGCTGCGCTGCAAATTAGGCGCGACTATTCTTGATCCACGACCATTTCAACTTAGGCGTGAGCTCCCAAGCCTGATTTCTTGTCCGGGGAATAAAGTTAGGCGCGTGTAACACTAGGCGCGTACTAGCTGGGCTTGAGCTCCCAAACCGCCTCTTAGTCATCAATAGGGGGACACTTCCATATATGTTCCAAGGCACTAAGGTAAAAATTCAGTTTCCCCAACTCACCTAAAACGCACTTCCTGAAGTGTGAAATTGTGTAAAAAGTGTATTTAATGAAGTTTTGGACTTTACTGATGGGCGGAAAAGTCATTATATGACCGAAAATATTAATTTCCTAAGTATGTCCAAAAAATCATAAGTACACCAATTTACACAATTCCACACTTCAGGAAGTGAATTAAGAACCTAACTGACAATAAACAACTCGTACAAACACTTACGCAATCAATGCCTTCTAACAGTCGATGACGTCATCAGCGCTGTGGAGGGTAAAGCTGGCCAGCAGCTTTGAAAAAATGGTGGATACGTTCAAGCGGCGAATAACGTTGCTTGAATTGGAATTCGGCCAAATATCCCACAAAGTGTTTTTTCCGAATCCCATACCGGGGATGGTTGCCCGCACCTCCCTCCAAACACGCTCAATATTGTTCGTGTGAGCACCAGTCTCGGGATCAACGAAGTTCACAGAGTGGTTGACTTGAAGATGCCTGAACCCCTCCTGGCCTAGACAGTCGTACGCCCGCCAGCAGTCGCTGATGATTGTTGTGCCAGGAAGGATCCACTCGCGAATCAATGCCAGCAAAGTCGCAGAGTCCCTTGATTCCACAGGAACAAGGAAGGTCCTCTTCGTGTTCACGTCAATACCACCGAACACCCAATGTCCTTCTATAATTCGCCCGCGATTATATTTCCGCCGTCCGAACTTCGCCTCGTCAATTTGCACAACCGCCTGCGGTCCACCGATCCTCTCCGAACGGTCCACCATGTGATTGACGTACACCTCCCGGGTGAACGAGTACCAATCAACAATGGTCGCGCTGGCAATCCCCAGCTCCTGACGAATGAAGGCCTGACGAGGTGGTTTCAGGTGAAGAAAAATAGATACGAAGACAAATATCTGCTCAACAGATAAATGAGAGTTCTCTAGGAAGGTACCAGCCCGCGCGGAGACGTTGAATGAGCACTGCCGCTTTCTCTTCTTGTTTATCGACAACCGGCGCCGACAACGAAAAGTAAGATCGTCCACGACCAGCGGGCACAAATTACCACATCGAGTGCAAGCACTTTCCCGGCTCATCACACCGTGATTAACCATAAACAAGACAATGTCAGTCCGCGATCTACGCACACTGTCCAAAAACTTCACTTCGCAAGAATCGCACTGAGGTTCGATTACGTCAGCCATCTCGGAACAACCTACTAAAACTGGTTTAACGAAGACGAAGCACTACAGCTAATTACCCCAGGAATCACCCGCAAAACCCCCAGGATTCACCAGCAATCCCCTCCAAAATAGCTATGTGATCCCGCAAACTCCCTATTAGTACACCAAATCGCAGCGCAAAAACTTTTACCATGTAGCACAACCGTCCCGAACCACTTAGCAGAAGTGACAAGCGCTGGTTAAAGTGAAACTATACAGCAGAACCACGGCCGCCTTTACGGCCGCCTCTAAGGCGGCCATGACAGAACTGCTGTTAAGTAACTAAACTTATGCAGACTTGCTGTAATAGTATTCATATTCGTATTTTGTATTGAAACTATTCTAAACTAACCAACCCTAACCAAACTTGCTGTATAAACTCATTATACAACAAATATGAAAAGACATGTGGTGAAGGGGGCCGGACATTATGCGGGTTCTTGGCTGCACTAAGTCCTTTGAAGGTAGGTTAGATTAGTGAAGTTAAAGTATAGGTTATAGTTGGCCGGGCTGTTTATTTATGTAAAATCTACATCGTTTTATCACTATTGGAACATTGGCTTAAACAACGGTACCATTTCAAAAATGCAAGCATTTTTGAAATCGTAGCCTCGTAAATATATCGATAAAAAGTACTCATTCGATATTAGTGCCAACAGATATGGAAGTGTACCCATCAATAGGCCTAGATTTTTGGGCTGCACTTAAGTTTACGTCACTAAGTATACCCTATAGCCTACACTAAGTTTAGGTACTCACATAGCCTAGGCTACTGCACTATGGTTAAGGTTAGCCTAGGTTTAGTTTAGAACAAATTTCATTTTATAATCAGCTTGTAGGCCTAGGGCCTATAGTTATTTAATGTATAGGCTAATAGTAAATGTAGGACGTAAAATGAAGTGCAACCCTAAGTTAGGCCTAATTCATGCTATGGTACTGCTTATGCTATCAATTAGGCTAGACAAACCATTTTAATTTTTAATAGATCATGCAGATCGACTTAGAGAACCCAAAGCTTAAGCCAAGTTGAACTTACCTTAAAAAACGTATCAAAAAAGTATGCACAGCAATGAAATATTGTCACACAAATTACAAAAGGATAAATTTCGTCCATTGTTGACAAATTAGGCCTACTATCATCATTCAAACATAAAATACACTTGCTTATTTTATCAGACCAACACCATTTTAAGGTTAACACTCTATTAAACAGGGCAAATCCACATTAGATAACTGAGCCTATTTTGTTGTTAAATAAACCAACGATATCGATATAAAACATTTTCTTACTTTCATGTTTCATGATGTAAACAAAACAAACGATCGGCGTACGGTATGTCGGCATTAGAGTAGCTGCTCTGGCTCTGTCTGTGGAGTAGGACTAGTAGGAGGAACTAGGAGTGACTTGTTGACTGAGACAGTTAGTAGGAGTAGAGGTGTGTCGCTGGTCGCTGCAGCTGGAACTACATTTATCCAATCCACCGTTCCGAGAGTGCAACTCGTTCCACCATTCCAAGCGGAACCACAATCCAGTTCTGTTCCGTGTTCCGTTCCACTCGACTACTTTTTCAGCTGCAGCCACAGCCTCCTCTAATACAAGGCCGCGGCGAGTTAATTTTATTTGAACAAATTGTTAGATGTTAGTCTCTACAAATCCCAAAATCTCTACAAATAAATATTGAAATTGAAGTGGCAATAAGTTAATCCTACTGTATTACCATTCTTGGTATAGTAGTTATATTTTGTAAAATTTAAGCCCAGTCTGTCTAGTAGTTTTTACTATGTTAAATAACACACATACAGACACCATGAGATTGTTATATAATAGTATAGATTATCAAATTAACAAAGGAAATATGTAAAGTACATCTGGTACTTTCCTGTTAAAGGGAACATTCATTATTATCGATGATTTTCAATCGATATATCGATATATTAACGAATTGAAACTTATCAGCTGACAACTACGATAAATAAATTGTGTATTATTCCAGATTTAAGAACGAATTTAAATTATTGAAATGGATCGTAAAGGGAAACAAAAATATCGGTATATCGATTAAAAATCATCGATAATAATGAATGTTCCCTTTAACAGGATTGTGGTATGTTGCAATTTTTCACTGAATAAATAAAACCTAGATTCTAATAATTTGTCTATTTTACCATACTCTAAAATCCACTAAAATATCTAATTTAAATACTTTATTCAATGATACAGAGCAGCAATACTATCATTGATGTTTATAGCCTAGTACGAGTATCGGGTGAGTGCGGCGTTCCCAGATGGAACGTCGCGGCCTTGTATTAAAGGAGGCTGTGCTGCAGCTCAAAACTGAGTGGAACGACTTGAATGTACAGTAGGCCTAGTTCCGCACAAACAGCTGCAGCCTTTTTTTGTAAATTTTGAAAGATAAGTTCCGGACCGGAGTAACTTTATTTGTAAAACACATGTAGTTACGACAAAACAGCTGCAGCTGGTTTGTTAATACTCTCACTAGCACTGAGCTATAATTCTAACTGGAGGTAGCACTGAATGTCAAAGATGCGTGTCGCCAGCCGCCATGTTTGCGTGAGGTGGGTGTCCATAAGAAGCCATATTATTGCTATAACTATTATTATACTTGGCTTAAAATACCTACTTTGTATGTTCGCCATTTCAAAGAAAATTATTAAAGTATTAAAAGTATTCAAGTATGACAAAAATACTCACTGCTATACCAACCTAGTTATAAGAAGCCATGTTATTGCTATGGTAAGAAAACTTACTGCTATACCAACCTAACAAAATCAGCGACTCGCTTTTGACAGACTTCTGCCATGGCAGTGCTACCTCCAGTTATAATTTTAGCTCAGTGCTCACTAGTCTAAAAAACATTAAATTCTTACGGTGTGCAACTGCTGCGTTTTGACTTATTTGGTCTATTGTAAACAAATGTTTGATTAGCGGATATAGTTAACATACCTTAAAAGAAATAACAGTAATCATTTTCTGTTTTTATAGTTTTTTTCAGGCAGCAATTAAATAAAAGTACATCAGCCCCAGTTAAGTCGTGCTCATAATATAAGTGTACATCATTCTTATAGCAGAGGTATACATCTTTCTTTTAAAACAATTGTCAATTTTTTCTGATCAGAACGTTCTTATGACCGCCTATTATGGGGTCATTTTCCCTCATTTAGTATACGCAGTGCCGGCATGGGGATATGAGAATGGAAGGACCAGATTTCTATTTCGACTTCAAAAGAGAGCAATTCGAACCATCTTTAAAATCAGCTCACGAACTTCATGCAAAGATTTTTTCCAGTCTTCAAATATTTTAACTTTTCCATGCCTTGAAACACTCTCTTTTCTGAAAAAGAACATTTCCATTTTTTCAAGTTCCAGATCATGTCCACATTCTTTGCGAAACAGTCTTAATCTTCAGATACCAAAACATTCAACCACCTTTTTCAAAAAAACATCTTTATTCTAACGGTATACTGCTTTTCAATGCACTGCCAACACATCTAAAAATTGAGTCAAACCCTGTTGTTTTTAAAAAATCACTTCGAAAATTACTGGTGTCCAAGTGTTACTACCGTGTCCGTGATTTTATTGCTGATGGGTAGTCATGGGCATATGGTATGCTTGGTTCATGAATTGATTACATGTAAATATTGTTGTTATTTTATAGTTTATAAGACAATCTGTATTTTTTTAAATGTATATTGACTTAGCCAATGCATTCATGTAAATCTGGCCAAATAAATGACTTATGACTTACAAATTAATCATTTCATTAGTAATCAGTACCGTAATTAATTGTTTTGTTTAACTTAAGTCAGGAGTTTATAGCTATTAATTTTAGAATTTTTTATTAAGAGTTAGTGTAAGTGGTGCTTGAATATTATTACTGTATTCTGACAATTTACAAAAATGAATACGTGAAATGTAACATTGTTAGAAAAATGCCATAAACGAATGAGGTCAACGGTATTTTATATACCCAGCATAATAATATATAGGCAATATTATTTTTATAATCAACATGGTCACAAATTGATCAACAAATTTTTTTTTTAGAATTGCAAAAATATAATATATAAGATAAATTAAAATATGAAGGAACCTCTAAAATAGCCTATACCGGCCTTGTCACGTATTATTTTTAGACACAAGATAAACAAACTAAAATAATTAATTACTTGTGCTGTACAAAATTTCCGAAACACGATATCGGTTTCCTTACATTCGCTATTTTGCATTATTCAAAACAATATTTTAATTCGAGCTTAAACTAATCCGCCTCAAATTATGGTGCCGGTAATAAGCTGAGATTTTGTTCATATCCGTCCTTTTGCCTCGTTCCACTACAGCCATCGCTCCGCTGCAGCAGGAAAACCAGCTGCTGCTGCAGCGGGCAAAACTATAGCTTCAGCTGGAACTGCTTTTGGAACGAGCTCCACGGCGACCTTGGAACTAGCTGCAGCTGTTTCGTCCAAGTAACTGCTTGAATGTTCTAGCAGTACGTTAACTTAACTTAGCACTAGTAACAAAGCAAACTGGAGTGGAGTAAGGAGTTCTTCGTCTTCTTTTCTACTTTGTCGGCTTGGTTAAATTACCATGTAGCAACACTATTTCACCTTAAAACACGACTTTGCTTGGATTGAATAAAACATTATTAGATAAGTTAATTAACTAAAATACAAAATATTTATCATGTAATCAATGTGAAAAAATTGTATATGATACAAATAAATATATATACCCATAATAATAGTCAGTGGCGTAGCATGTTGCCCACGGCTAATAGGCTCCATATACTGCAATGCCCCCGACTGCCTGGACACTAAAACGGTCGTGATACATGTTGCCGGGCAAAATCACTCCCGGCAACACCTCGGGCAGTTTTTTCGTCGTCGCCACCGGTCTCCCCACGGCTAAATGCACCATTTGACTCCATGCCCCTCTACACGTCCGACACCGGCGGCTCCACTAGTTGTGCCACATGTTGCTCACGGCTAATAGGGGCCTAAGACCGCACAATTTGTTATTCAGGATTAGTTTTGCCAACAGTGTCATTTGGAGGCTTCTGATTGACTATAATAAAGGTTTACTATTTGAAAAATTAGTTTTGTTCATAAAATAAAATAATATATGCCTCAAATTCAATTTTATATTTTTTTATTGTGAAATAAAACTGTCATAGCCTAACCAAACCAACCAAACGTGATGATCATGAAAACATCCAATGAAGGTTTATTAATCGAAGAAATAGTTCTGTTCATAAAATAAAATTATAAATGCCTCAAATTCAATTTCATAATTTTTTAATTATAAAATTAAACTGGCATAACCTAACCAAACTACCAGACTTGCTGATAATGAAAAATCTAAAGAAGGTTTAATCGAAAAAATAGTTCTGTTCATAAAATAAAACTATAACTGGCTCAAATTCAGTTTTATAATGTTTTAATTATAAAATTAAACTGTCATAACCTAACCAAACCAACCACACTTCTTGCTGATAATGAAAAAATCAAAGAAGAAAAATTGAATAAAAATATATACATTTTATAAAACAAACAATAAGTCAACAAATATTTACTTTTCAGTAGCAAAAATGAATAAACTAAAATATCTTCCAACAAACACAGCTAGCTTTAACTCAATAACTCGTTTATTAAACCAAAGTAACAAATACAAATTTGCATTAGTCATGTCAAACAAAATATATCTTTACGTCTAAAATTAAAATAAAACAATTGTGCTTTAATCAACTAGATTTACGAGTGACAATCTTCTTCAAACTTAATTAAAATTAAACCCATCAGCGACACATTCACGGACACTGTAGCAACTTTTGGCCAAGAGTAACCTTTTTACTTGCCTTTTGAACCTCCCTTCAGCTGGAGCCGGACTTGGTCCGCTTTAATTTGAAGCGGACCAAGTCCGGCTCCAGCTGAAGGGAGGGAGGAAGTAGATTGAAAAGTGTAATGCCGTTGTAAAATCAGTGTTGCCACCGCGTTGTTGCGATTTTACCCTAAAGGCGGGCTAAAATTACCCTAAATTACCCTAAATCTACTTTGAGTTACCCTAAAAATTACCCTAAATGTTAATATTTGCGTTTA